GTGTGTGTGTGTGTGTGTGTGTGCATTAATGATTAGCGTGCCTGTTGTTGTAGAGGTTGATGCCATTTCGACTTCCCTTTCGGACGGGTGCTCACTTCCCTAACCATAACTTCTTTGTATACATATATGTTCAGCTGATCATTTCTCGACATTCTGTATATCAGAAAACCGGATATCATTGCGGGAATAAGATATCCTGCTCAATCCCTTCCCATGTTCAAAGGACGTGGGATGGATGAAACAACTGACTCAATGATCATCACAATTACAATATCATACACAGCGTTAAGGTAATTACGTGGTCATTAGCTTAAAATTAATTGTTTCATCATTATCTCAATGAAACGTTACAACGTTATGCGTGAACAGATATCGAACTTATCACTCGATTTTAAAGAGAAATATTTGATATCGATATGGACGGATGCAAAGGACGAAGATGAAACGAGGCGATAGTGGGAGATCGTTTGATTGACAGGAGAAGAAACTACTTTATGGCATGAGGATAACTTGTCAACAACATGGCTAATGAAGTCCTGTCGTGCTGATGTGTGGCTGTTTGAAATCAAACAGGCTTGCTTTTATGGGTGTACCACCTCGGAGGAATCTAAACAAACATCACAGATTCATCTCTCTCTGCAAGAGTTTCTTATATCTTTATACAGGACAATGAATTCCAAGGTTTTCACTCCCAGCAATCTCTTGATTTCCTGATCAATCGAGTTAGCCAGCTGTTGTGAAGACAAGCTGTAAACAACCACAGGCAGTAGTCCCTCGTAACCTTCAAGTGCAGATACGTCAATACAACACAGTTTATGTTTTCTCATTCGTGCATAAGGGAAAAGCAAAGCATCTCCTCCTGGTACGACGATAATACTCAGAACAAGTTCCAACATCATCACAACAATACGTAGTGGGGGAAATGTCACCGGAATTTCTTACGAACACAATAAGCGTACCTTCCTCTACTCTTGAACATTATTCAAAGGTCAAGAAAAGCACACACACATACATATATATATATATATATATATATATATATA